TGGCTTTCACTCTCATCCAGGTTGTTATATGTATCCTCTGGTTAACTATTTCTCCTCCTTTTCCATTTAAGAATTTTACCCAGTTCAAGGACAAAATCATCTTAGAGTGTGCTCTGGGATCAGCTGTAGGCTTTTGGGCTGTACTTGGGTACATAGGCCTTCTGGCCATCTTATGTTTTATTCTGGCTTTTCTTGCTCGGAAACTGCCTGATAACTTCAATGAGGCCAAACTGATCACCTTCAGCATGCTTATATTCTGTGCAGTCTGGATCACTTTTATTCCAGCATATGTCAGCTCTCCTGGGAAGTTCAGTGTTTCTGTAGAGATATTTGCTATTCTGGCCTCCAGTTTTGGACTGCTCATTTGTACTTTTATTCCAAAGTGTTATATTATCTTACTGAAACCAGAAATGAATACAAAGAAGAATATGATGGAGAAAGGGGCATCAAAGTCATTCTGAAAAACATACAGAATAGGGTGGCAAAGGCATTCTTGTGCCTTTATAATTTTTACATATTTTGTTAACCAGACTCATGTAGAAACCAATATTCACTTTATTGAAGAGGATTATTGCAGCTCATTAAAATTTCTTATTTGTATGTTTCTACACTCATAGCATATGGAGATGACAGCATTTAATGCAGTGTAATATACATTCACATCAACTAATATGTATAATCAAGTGCAAGCAAATGCACAAGCCTTAGTTTTTAATGAGTCTATAACATTTATAATGCAGTTTTAAAAAATGTAGTCAAACAATCTGCATCTTCAAAGACAAAAAATCTTTGGCTTAAGCTACAGTAATTCATTTTTTTAGTAGCCCCCAAAAATTTATCTTAATGGGGAGAACTGCTGTCCTGTGACCCAGACTCCTAAAAAAACCTGGCCACAGTGCATAAAATACTACTTTCTAAAGGCTTTTGACCAGATGGCCTTCTTAACCAATCAAAGAAGGCCGCCATCAGGAGTGGGAGATCATGCCTGTAAGTCAATATATGAACATGCTCTATTGACATGGTGGCAAGCTAGCAAGCTACTGTTTTCAGTGTTAGCTGAAACAGTTACATGAACAAAAATTTTGAAGAGAGGGAAGAAAAGAAACCAACAAAACTGGATTGATGAACATGTCATTTGTGCTCCCAGTGTAACTGTAACAGCAGCTGCCTAAGCTAAGGATGTCACTGTGTTACTGCTTTCACTTACAGTAATAAGCCAGTTACATTCAGGCAAGTTCATACACAATCCACCTGGTTGGAGAGCCATAGCTGTTGAATCAACTTGTGACTGGTGAATTACATTAATTTTGATGCCTGCTAGCTGAATGTGTCTCCACTAACCTTTTCTCTGGGAGTCTGGCTCTCATCACACACCTGCTGCAGCTGCGGTGATATTTAAGTGTTATTTGTCATGCCACACTCTTTTCAGATGTAGCTACACTTGACAGTATGTTTTATTCAATTTCAGATAGGTTTTCAAACAGCATGTGTCTTGTATGTGATACAGTGGTTAAGTGTTGCCCTGTTTTGTCACAAAATGATCTTTTCAGAGCACACTCTCTGCCAATGTTCTCAACCTCTGCTGGCTTTAAATGCGTCATGTCTACCTGTCCTGTAGTGGAAGTTGCTATACAGTTGTGCTGTGCTTACAGTACGCATGAAGCAAGACAGTCAGCTCAGTGAAGTAACATTATTTTAATACCCACCAGATTAACTCTGTGAATTTCTCTCTAAACTGTGACACTGTGTAATGGTCTCATGTTCACAAAGGGTAAAGTGGAGTGAGCAGGGAACATTGACTGTATAAAAAAAGATGGACAACACTACCATGACATCACCAATTGGTTTTATAAAGAGCAGTTTTAAGCTCAAGTCTGGCCATCGCCATCCTGGTAGTGCTTCACTCCGCCTGCTACAGCTAATCCAAAAACGGGCAAAGAGGTGGAGCATGATTGGAGCTTGTTAAACAGCTAGCAGATAGCCACCTATGGCAGGACACTCCTGTCTGTCACTCAAAGTGGCCGAGCCCTTATTTATGTGTAACTTTTAGATTCAACCTAATGTAAATGGGCTATAAAAATTCACCTCCTATACAGTTGTCATGGAAGCCGAAATTAGCTAAAGAGACTAAAACCATTTTTTGCACCAGGCTTATAAACATATTTATTTCTGCTGTAAACTTGGGCATTTTAACATGGGAGTCTACTGGGATTGACTCCCTTTTTGGAACCAGACTCAAGTGGCCATTCGAGGAACTGCAGGTTTTAACACGTGCATTGGCCTCAGTTAGCCTCAGAGGATACAACTTGGTAGGGAGAGGGAGGGCTGGGCAGAGCGGAGGAGATTGATTCCAAGGTCTCATGCTAGCACTAGCTAGATTTTGAATTAATCCATACTGTAGCTTTAACTTGCATTAGTTTCATGTGCTTAGACAATTTCAGATATATGAACATGCAAAACATAATTATTGTTAATGGCTTATGTGTCCGTGTGTATTTTGCTCTGTATTTGAGATATAAACATAAAGTTGGTGCAAAACATACAAGGTTTTGGTGTATATATCCATATATGTCAAAGACATACAAAAAAGTAAAATACATATAAGCATAAGCATAAACTTTATTGCCAAGTATTTAAAAAAGAATACAAGGAATTTGACTCCAGCCCAATGGCCCCCGATATGCACAACATAAGAACAAAATAAATAAATACAAAATATATACAAGTTAAAAAAGCACAAGTTAAAAGAGCATAGAACATAGACTAGCTGTTCATCAGTGTAATAGCCCGGGGGAAGAAACTGTCTCTGTGTCTGGTTGTCTTGGTGCATAGTGACCTGTAGTGCTGTCTGGAGGGGAGAGTTCAAAGAGTTTGTATCCAGGGTGAGAGGGGTCTGCAGAGATCCTCGCTGACCTCCTTTTGACCCGTAAGGTGTACAGGTGCTCCATGGAGGGCAGGCCGGCACTGAGGATTTTCTCTGCAGTTCTGACTGTTTGCTGGAGTCTGTTCCTGTCCTGTTTGGTTGCTGAGCCAAACCAGACGGAGATGGAAGTGCAACTTGTAGGACTGCATGACTGAAACAGAGCTGCTGAGCATAGCAAGTGGCGATAGGGTGGGGGAGTTCCTCCTAAAATCCACTATCATCTCCACTGTCTTCTGCGTGTTCAGCTCCAGGTTGTTACGACCACACCACAGGGCCAACTGTTCAACCTCCTGTCCATAGGCTGACTTGTCACTGTCTTGAATGAGGCTGATGACTGTTGTGTCATCTGCAAACTTCAGGATTTTTACAGAGGGGTCTCCTGAGGTGCAGTCATTAGTATAGAGGGAGAGCAACACTGGGGAGAGCACACATCCTTGGGGGCCACCTGTGCTGATAGTCCGGGTGCTACATGTGGTTTTCCCCAGTCTCACCTGCTGCTTCCTGTCCGTCAGAAAGCTAGTAATCCACTGACAGGTGGGGGCAGACACAGAGAGTTGGGTAAGTTTGGAGTGGAGGATGTCTGGGATGATGGTGTTAAATGCCGAACTGAAGTCGACAAATAAGATCCGAGCATAGGTCCCTGGTGGGTCAAGGTGTTGCAGGGTACACAGTATAGATACCAGCTTTTGTCAAACTCGATTTGACAATTCTAGGTGAAAGTTCACCCCTCCCTCCCTCTCCCACCACAGGTGTAAGTCCCACCCCAGCCTCCCTCCTCTCCCAGGTCAAAGGTCACTCCCTCCCTCCCCCTCCCACCACAGGTGTAAATTCCTTTCCCCAGCCTCCCTCCTCTTCCAGGTCAAAGGTCACCACCACCCCTCCCACCATAGGTGTAAATTCATCCCCTCCCAGGTCAAAAGTTCACCCCCTCAGGTTCCCATACCCCCTCCCTGCATCCTCACTGGGCACAGCTGTTCTCCCTCCTGATAGATGAATCTAAAAAATAAAGACAGGGTAATGATTATGTTTGTAATGTTATATAGTGAATAAAACAAATGGTACATAGAAAACATAGTAGTGACTTGTATATAAAATAGAGTAAAATAGGAGAAAGTAAGACTTGACTTGATATTTAGTTTCAAAGGAGGCCCATAAGACAACAGATGTCCTTGAGTTATTTATTAGGGGTAATTCTGTAGGTGGCAAAACAGCATTTGTTTGAGATAAATCAAAGCTTAGCATATGTTTCCGTCACAGCGTGTTTTTGTAAGAAAGCTGCAAAAATACACCTCGCAGCTGTTCACCCCCCTCTTATACTCAATACTTTATAAACTGCCCTGCTTTTTGTAGTGTTATACCTCCAAAAAATCATTTCCTACAGCAAACAGACTGTAATAATGAAAGAGAAAAATGCCTAAATCATCCTCTCGTGTTGAAAAATTATACGGCGTTATAAGTAACGTACCAGTGATGCTGACTGAGGAATCCGATTTGTCCCGGGCTCCGAAAAAAGTTACGATGCAACTCTGCAGGATTCAAAAGCCCCCGAGCGCTTCGCTTCGTGGTGAGTTGAAATTAGTCTCTGGATATTGCGGCTATGTGTTTCATTACACAACCGGAGATTACTCCCTGTATCGTCTGAAAGAGGGGGAGACTTTTTCACCAGACACAGTGAGGACCCAAATCACAGTGAATGATTGGGGCATCCTTAGATGTAGTGATTGAGTATTTGATTGAAAGCTATCAAGATGCGAGTGATGATGATGATGATGATGATGATGATGATGATGAGGAAGGGAAGGAGAACTGAGACCCTGCAAATAAGAAAAAGAGATATCTTACCAAGCAGCCTGAAAACACCCATCACCGATTGACCAAAGTGTTTAAGCAGAGTGACACCTCGCCCTCCAACACTACCACCAGCAGCACAACCACGCTGGTGAGAACGGATCCCAGGGTTTTCAAAGCTGTATGGGAAACTCAAGGAACGAGCTCCGGTCGCTGGTATTATAAAGTGGTTGCACAGGGCCTGAGGGATAAAAACGGGGTAATGAGTATGTATCGATTCAACACGGAATGCGGTGTATTCCAGGAGACCCTGAACCTCACCTGTATAACCTGGATGGAAATTTTTAACAGGTGGGGAGATGAGATTACTTCGTTATCGTGACAGCCAACAGTGGCAGGAGATAGTGGTACTGAAAAAGGTTCTGTTTGCATATGCTGAGGAGCGGTCAAGATTTCAGGTTCTGACTTTTCAATATAGTTTTCCACTAAATATTTGACAAAAGTAATGCATTCACAACACTCATAGCTTTGTGTGATCCCCTTCACTTTAATTTCCACCTTGCCCCCTCTCGTCTGATATCCATAACTTTTAGGACCAGCTGAAACAAATTCCTTGATGTAATCCGAATTTAACTCATCTGTTAGATCGCCGAGATAGTTTCCCTGCTGGAGCTCAGTTTCGCCTTGTTTGGTGGTGTAAATTAAACTATCTGTATTGTAATAGAGGACCCTTCTTTCAAGGCTCTCCAAATTACTGTACAGTTTTAATCTCAGGTGACAGGTTGTAAAAGCTGCAATAAATACATTGTCTGATTTATTGGGGCGGGGCACATTCCTAACCCCGTAGCAATATTGAATCAAGGCCACGTGTTTGTTGATAAAGTTAAAATATGATCCGCTTTTTCAGGTATACTTTGAATATAACATTTATGATCTCTGCTCGGTTCATCATTAATTATGCCTTCGCAGGTGTAGCAGATAGACTCTGAGCATTTGTGAGGTTTTGCCTGTTTACTCATTGGTATGTAATACAGTCTCGAACATTTTAAGCAGGAGGAACTAACTACAGGTGTCAGGACGACAGGTCTGTAGTTATTTAGCTCCCCGATGAAGGATTTTTTGGGAACTGGGATGATGGTGGAGCATTTAAAACAGGAGGGAACCACACAAAGCTCTAGTGATCTAAGGTTTGCGTGAATATGGGAGCCAACTGGCCAGCACAGACTTTCAGACAGAAGGGGGTCACACTGTCTGGGCCTGGCGCCTTACTGATCTTTTGTTTCCTAAAAAGGCAACACACATATCTTTTACAGATCCTTAGAGGTGCTGGGCTGATGGGGGAAGAGATAGTCCTAGAAGAAACAGCTACTGGTTGTGGATCCAAGAGGTGAGAGAGGGGTGAGGAGTTCTGCCTTTCAAACCTACAATAAAACTCATTCAGCTCATCAGCCAGCTGATGGCTGTCCACAGCAGGGTGGGATGGTCTCCTGTACCCAGTGATGTTCTGTAGGCTCCTCCACACTGACAATAGTTTGTTGGCCTGACACTGATTTTTCAGCCTTTCCAAATAGCTCCTCTTTGCTGCTCTGATCTCCTTTGTCAGTGTGTTTCTAGCCTGGTTATACAGGGTCCTGTCCCCACTCCTGTAGGCCTCCTTTTTGGCATGACGGAGCTGTTTGAGCTTCACTGTGAAACAAGGCTTATTGTTATTGTATGTGCAGAGAGTCTTAATAGGCGCACACATGTCCTCACAAAAACTGATATATGATGTAACCATATCCGTATACTCGAACAAGTCTGTAGCTGTAGTCTCAAAGACACCCCAGTCTGTACAGGCAAAGCAGGCCTGTAGTTTAGACTTTGCTTGTTCAGTCCATCGTTTCACCCTTTTGACCACAGGCTTTGCAGCTTTAAGTTTCTGCCTATAAATGAGGATGAGGTGGATCATGCAATGGTCCAAAAGCCCAAGAGCTGCACGGGGAACAGAACGATAGGTGTCCTTGATTACTGTATAACAATGGTCCCGTGTGTTTTTGTATTTGGGCAATTTGTGATTAAAGTTTGCTCTGTTAAAATCCCCCAAAATAATAAGCAAGGAGTCTGGGTGTTTCTCTTCCATACTTATTATCGGGTTGGCTAAGAGCTGCAATGCATTTCTAACAGGCCTGTGAAGAAATATAGGTACCAACCAGGATAAATGAGGAAAACTTTCTAGGAGAATAAAAAGGTTTACAGTTAATGGATTGTTATACCCCACTTCTTTTATTGGACAGATCTGAATAACGAAGGAGAATAAAAAGGTTTACAGTTAATGGATTGTTATACCCCACTTCTTTTATTGGACAGATCTGAATAACGAAGGAGTCCGTCTTTCTTCATTTAGTGCTGATTTATTTTAAACCACAAGTAAAATTACAAACACGACCCGAGTTGTTCCTTCCTCCAGAGACACACGCACTGGCTGCTGGAGAGAGGAGTTCCTGGCCAAACAAAGCCTAATACATTTATAAGTTTTATAAGCATCTCCTCCACTTCCCAATAACAGCTGCTGCTGTGGAGCGTGTTCCTTATATTGAATAGAGAGGACTAACAAAAGTATATTTCACAGTGTGAAATTTATTATGCATTAACGTATCAAAATAAGCATGTGCACATGGATCTTCACTGTTTAGGATAAACAGAAAAGACTGGCCTCAACTTGTCGGTATACAATATTTGTATGAAAAGGTACTACTATCTAATTGGTCAAAAACTGTTGGGGAGAAGCCGTGGTTTAAACTTAACTCTCCCTTTATTGGTCCTTCAGTCCGTCCGTCCTCCAATCGTCCTCTCTGCTCCAATGGTCGTGGACAGCGCCCTAGAAAGGGAGGAATACCTATACTGTCTTAATTTCTACATAGACACCTACTTCTTCCTTTGTTTCCAACTAACTGCTCCATATTAGGCATTGCTTTCCGTTTCACTAATTAAAACTGTCCTGCCTGTGTGTGTATGTGTATGATGGTTCTACCTTTGAAGTTTTCTCCTCTTCCTGGCTTCATCTCTAATCTTTGTTTAACTAACCTTGGAGTCTTACTGTACCAAGACTCCCCTGGCCCATAGCCAGGTGGTGATAATAAATTAACTGTGGACCCTCTTCGCCAGAGCTGTAAATCTAAGGAGATTCAGTGATTTAGTGAACAAGACACTACAATGTTGAGGAGTGCTTCAGTGACTAATACAACAAATATTTGACCAGTGTTTCAGTGAACACATAGGGTGATATACGCTCCACCAGCTAAAATGGTCAAACAGCTTCCACCATCAATGAAAACCGGAGAGAAAATGTCAAGACGAAGCCATTGGATGTTCAAAAGCTTGTCCCTTGCAAAAGTTATCCAGGCAGGGTTGCAGAAAACTGACAGGAACAACAAAAACACACGGGAGCACATGTCTGAGGCAGCCCTGGTCGGCGCCATGATTATAATATGATAATAAATCCCTGGAGGACAGGAGTAGTTGAATCTGGTTGAAACTAAATCAGAACCCTGGTAGATAGTTTATAGTGTAAGACAGTAAGGAGAAAAAATAATAGTGAGAAAAGTGTATGCAGCTGGTCATAGGAAAAGAGAAAAGGAGAAAAAAAGCATAGAAGAAGAATGTGGTGGCTTGCAGTTTACACTGTATGAACATGGATGCATTATGAGGGCAGAGCAGCATGTTATATAAAGTTCCATAAAACTTCCTATGATGTCTCCTGTGTGTTCTCTGGCAATTATCAGATGAGGAGTGACACTGGAACAGTAGGGTAACAACCAAGAAGAAGCAGTCTTACTATATACTGTAACCGCACGCATAGGATGCTGTAAAAGGAAAGTGAATGCATTTGAAATAATCATTTCATTGGTCAGCACTATAGCTGACAATCTACTGCCTGATGAATTCTGAGTTATTTCACAAAAATTTGAGAGTGAGAGCAGATGTTTTTGTGCACAGCAGCAGCTTGTGTGCAAGAAGAAGGGTTTCAGTGCATCCATAGGAAATTTGAGCAAACAGCATTATATTTAAATGCAATGACAGTGTTTTGAATGTGAGCAGGTACTATTTTGAGTGTGATGACAGCTAGCATTATCTTCTCAAATTGAATGATCATGCTCTAAGTAGGAACAAACCGTCTTGGGAAACCTGCCATCGCTCACAATCAGGAGGTAAAAGGGGCAGAACCACTTGTGGAATGAACATGGAAATTGTAGGCCATGACCAGCTCTGGAAGATACAGATTCCAATTCTTATTTTTCTCGGCTGGGATAGATCTTAACACATTGTGCATGGTATGACTGCATCACTTGCATTGTGTTGCCCTGTTGATGTGTAACCCACTGAAAAAAATAGTTACTGTAAATCAAGATAAATTTATTTATTGCAGCAGTAGTGCAACTGACTCTGTCAGTAATGTGGGTGGCAAGTGGACTTAGTGCAAACACCAGACAGGATACATAGGTAAGTATAAATAAAATTTAATGGACAACAAAAACCATAGCACAAAGCTGACAAACAGTCACTGGGAGTCTGAACAAACATTGAGATAATAAAACAAAAATCAAAGCATACAACTGGCCAATAGTCACTTAGAGTCTCTGGGAAAACAGTGAGCAAATTTACACAAAATCACAGCCCAAAGCTGACAAAACTGAGCAAAATGCTGAAACAACCTGATGGCGAGTCCAATCATGAGTGTGGTCCACAGTCATAAAAACATGCTGGCAGAGACGAGGCATGGAGAACTGAAGACAGACCGACGACAGCTGTCTGGAGAGCTAGCCTCTCAAGCAGCCTGGTAGATGAGACATGATAGGCTACAGCTGAGTCCAATTAGCAACAATAAAGCTGGTGCATGCCAGGTGAAACAGAGAGGAAACTTAACGAAATAATAGTCTGAAACCGGAAGACAGTGGATCAGTCAACAGGATGATATATTCAGGTTTGGTGTTCATTTAATTTTTCACTTTTTTCACTTGTTAAATATTTTATCTGTTGTAACCTAGAGAAATCTTTTGTTCACCCACTTTCACTTTTGTTGAAGGGTTACCGAAATTTGGGGTGCAGTTTAATGAACAGGAGAAAGCTTTCTCTGATCTGTCATCAGAGTTGATGCCATAAACTGCTTTGTGTAAAAGTATTAAGCTGCATAAAGGTTGAGAAACTGTGAGCACTAAGTCAAAACTATTACAAGTATAGACACTGAGCAGTTAAGGGGTGACAACAAAACTCATTTCTTTAAGAAGCAACATAAAAGTCAGAAGAGCTGGTTTCGTTAACTGAGCTTCATAGTAAGCTAGCTCTCAGTTGTTTTGTGTGTGTGTGTGTGCCTTTATATTATTTACATCATTAGGAACGAAACCTGTTAACACACTCATACTGTGGGGACTCGGCCGTCCTTGTGGGCACCAGAAACTAGTCCCCACAAGGAAATCCCTGAATTTTAGGGTGGCAACATGGTTTAGGTGTTAGAAATTCTTCAACTCTCCCCGTAATCGTCCGTTGACTATACAGTTTAGGCTAAAGTGTCAAAGGTGAGGGCATGGGCCAATGCTTGTCACTCTGGCTCATGTAATGCTGTGCTGTCCGATTGAGTTTTAGCATATTTGTAATTTTAATTTCTTGATTCATTTTCCACCTGGTCCAGTTTGGGTGTGGGTTTGGTTAGGGCGCGATTAAGTTTTGATATGCTCCTATTTTTTATATATCTGTTTAAATGTTGCACAGGTGGGAGATGGGGGGGCGTTTGGGGTTAAGTGTTGGGCGCTGGGGTTGGGATGTTATGGTCAGGGTAATGGTACGGGTTGGGCGTTAGGGGAGAGGGGTTGGGGTCCAAAATTAGTGGTTAGGATTAGGTGTTTAGGGTTTGGAGTGGTTAAGATTATGGCAAACCTAAAGGTGTTGGGTGGTCCTGAATTTTTTAATTTTTTTATTTTTTGTGGGGTTTTAAATAGTTTTAAACCTGCAAATTAGGTTATAGTGTATATTGGGTTTTAATATGATTTTAGTGGTTTTTAAGTGAATTGTTCCTAAAGGTTGTTGTATTTTGAAGTGAATGTGGTGGTGTGTGGGTGTTTAGGGCTTGTAAATTGGATTAAATTATGTAGTGTTTTGGGTTTCGAGAAGTCTGAGAGAATTAAGTTTAAGGATTTCCTTGAATGGTCATAATCTCCAGGCAGTTGTGTTTTCATGTGAGCATGCCTGACATCCACCCCGGTGGCAGTGAATGATCAGCTCATCATTGCTAGATTCCTCTGGAGCACAGTACCTGTTTGTTTTGGCTGCTTGAGGCCAGTGTGTATGTCACATGTAATGTGATGCATGTAAATGAGAAGATTAATGACCCATTATGTTATTGTCGGAGCTACACTACCTGTTGGAATTAATTTCACTACTTTGGGACTGCATATGGTCATGTGGAGGAAGACACAGAGACCACCGGTTGGATTTACTGACCTCGGAGTGATGTTTCCACTACTCAGTAGGACTTAACAGTAACTTTAAAAAAACACATGTTGCATGTCCATTAATGCCTTGTTTCTGTAGAAAATTGTTGAAAGGCTGAACAAGTTGCTATGTCTGTCTTATGCCATTTCAAATATGGGGTTTCTCATTTACCGGCTTTGTTTAGTGTTACAAATCTTTTTTCATCTGTACATATACAGTTGTTTACCTATCTATGGAGGAGAAATTCAAATTAATTAATGCCCTCGCGGTTCATTGTGCTGTTCACTTGCGACATAACAATGACAGCAGGAGTTGTGCATGTTCACAAACTATCCTCTCGTTTTTAGGAAGACGCTCTCTGGTTTTATCTTTCTGAAAAAATTACTGACTATTTGGAGTTACAGTCTTGTGGGTGCAAAGCTAATCTAGGGGCACCTAGGAATAAACAGTAAATGGCTGGAAATGAGCAAAATGAGCATGACATGGGCTGTTTAATGTAGGATTTCTGATATCACTTTCATACATACATGCAAACACTGGTATGTAGCCTAAATTCTTTTCTATTTGGACTCCCCCCCACACACCCACACACTCCACCATGCAGTTTGAGAAAGATGAAACAATAATCCTCAGTTTTTATTTTTTATGCTAATCCAAAATGTATAAATACCAGTGCAAGCTTGTGATTAGCTTTAATGTGCATGTGATGCCACCCAGTGGTTTAGTTCTCTCAGACAGTATGACATCCACACAGAGGTGGACAGTGGGGGGCTGGGTACTTTTACAGCTGTTGGTGGTGGTGTCTTTCTCTCAGGCTGAGGAGCTGGTGTGCCAGCAGAGAGGGGATCCTGAGAACCCCCAACTGTCTAAGGATGGAGACATTATAATGGGAGGAATCTTCTCTTTCCACAGCAGCTGGAAAGTCAGACAGGATACCTACATGAACAAACCACTGCCACTGGAATGTACCAGGTAAATTACACAGTTGAAATCCAATAAGATTTAAAATATCTAAGGAGAACAGGATTAGATATTATCTGTTGTGTGAATTAATAACTTCAAATGCTTTCATTTACTACTTTATTGTTTCTGTTTCAAGTACTAGTACAACAATTTAAAACTGTCTTGGATCAAGTTTGGATTTAGGAGAGTTCCAGTGTGCCCAGGCCATGATTTTTGCCACTGAGGAAATTAATAACAGCACAGATCTACTACCTGGTATCTCTCTGGGCTATAAGGTGTATGATTCCTGTGGCTCTATTGCCAGAAGTGTGAAAGTTGCATTGGCCTTGGCTAATGGTAATGAAGTTGTGTCTGCACCCACTGAGGCACCATGTACCAGACCTGCACAAGTGCAGGCCATTATGTGAGAGACCTCTTCCTCTCCATGCATGGCTATAGCTACTGTCATAGGAACATTTCATATCCCCCTAGTGGGTAAAATTAACACATTTGTAAAATAATTATTAATCTGACATGATTCCAGCTGCTCAAATGTGCTTAAATGCGAGTATGTGACTGTTTTACATATTTTTCTTGGGGGTAATTTCTTTTTCTTGCAGATCAGTCACTTTGCCACCTGTGCTTGTCTCAGTGACAAAACCAAATACCCATCCTTCCTCAGAACAGTACCCAGTGACTACTATCAGAGCAGAGCACTGGCCCAGCTGGTTAAGCACTTTGGTTGGACCTGGGTTGGAGCTATTAGAAGCAATAATGATTATGGCAATAATGGCATGGCTACATTCACAGAAACTGCACAGCAGCTGGGCATCTGTCTGGAGTATTCTGTGTCTTTCTTTAGAACAGATTCATCAGATAAAATAAAAAAGATCATTGACATTATCAAGGCTTCCACCTCCAAAGTGATTGTAGCTTTTCTCTCAGGTATGGATATGAACTTGCTAATACAAGTGTTGTCTCAACACAACATGACTGGGTACCAGTGGGTAGGAAGTGAGGGATGGATCCTTGAATCCCAAACTGCCGACACTGATACACATCACATTCTGGATGGTGCCATAGGCCTGTCCATCCCCAAGGCACATGTCAGTGGCATGAAAGAGTTCATATTAGATGTGAAGCAACTCAATTTATCCAGTAACAAAATATTTACAGAGGTCTGGGAGACTTTTTTTAACTGTAAGTTCAAGCAGTCAAACTCATTATCTGAGAATCAGAGAGAATGTACTGGACATGAAGATGTGAGTGAAGTGCAAAACAGTTACACTGATATGTCATTCATGCCCATATTTAACAATATCTATAAAGGAGTGTATGCTGTGGCACATGCACTTCATAATATTCTTGAATGTAATGAAACATGTAACTACAAGGTGCAGTTAGATCTACACATGGTGAGTTCAACATTAAATAAACTATACTTTGTAGTAAAAATGTCAAATAATATAGAAATGTATATTTTTAAATGCATGAATAAAATATTTGACAATATCTCATGAGCCACAGCTGACCCAATTAATAAAACTAAAATCCATCTTCTTAGATTTTACAGCACATAAGAAAAATTGATTTCAAAACCAAGGAGGGAGATGAGGTTTACTTTAATGAATATGGAGACCCAGCTGCAAAGTATGAAATTATAAACTGGCAGCCAACAGAAAATGGTATTGTGCACTTTGTCATAGTTGGTCTTTATGATGCATCTTTACCTGCAGAAAAACAGCTGAGTCTGCAACTTGAGTCTGTTATTTGGACACAGAACTTAAAACAGGTACACTACAATGTCATCACTGTTATTATTAAATGCATCATAATCATCCTAAATGTTTTTTTTGTCTTAATATTTGGGTTCAGTGCATCAGAATCAATAATAAAGGTTTGCAAAGATAAAACCTTTATAAAGTCAGTGCCCATACACTTTTCTCATATTATTTTTTCCATGCAGGTGCCTGCGTCAGTTTGCAGTGAGAAATGTCCCCAAGGAACTCGTAAAGTTCTCCAGAAAGGAAAACCTGTCTGCTGCTATGAGTGTATCAGATGTGCAGAGGGAGAAATAAGCAACGTGACAGGTCTAGTAAAATTCAAGATTTTTTACTTCAGTGTGCCACAAAAGCAAAATTTTTAATATAATCATGTTTACATGCCAGTTATTAGAAATTTGTGCCCATGTGCATGTCAAGGCCTGTTGTGAAAAATATTATGCAACTTTGGTTTGTTCAAAACACTCTGACACTGTTTATCAAACAATGATAAAATCCATGGGAGGCCGGGGCAGTTCATGTTGTGTTCAGCCATTTCATGTTCAGACCATCTTGTGTCACATCCATGTGAAGGCAAGGGAAGGATTGTGGCATGATTTGTCAGTGTGAGGAGTCAGCCTCAGAGTGTGATTTGATACAACCTTTATCAGTTACACTTTCAGAAATTACTTTTTTAAACTGATATTACAAAGATGCTATTAAAAATAAAATAACTAAAACACTTAAAATAGCCAAATAATTATTGATTATAATGTAAATGTCACAAACTTGTGTACAAATCCCATCCATCCATCCATCTTCTTCCGCTTATTCGGAAACGGGTCGTGGGGGCAGCAGTCTAAGCAGAGATGCCCAGACTTCCCTCTCTCAAGACACTTCCTCCAGCTCCTCCGGGGGAATGCTGAGGTGTTCCCAGGCCAGCCAAGAGACATAGTACCTCCAATGTGTCCTAGATTTTTCTTGGGGCCTCCTCCCGGTGGAACATGCCCAGAACACCTTCCCAGGAAAGCTCCCAGGAGGCATCCGAAACAGATGCCCGAGCCACCTCAGCTGGCTCCTCTAAATGTGGAGGAGCAGCGGTTCTACTCTGAGCTCCTCCCGGATGACCAAGCTCCTCACCCTATCTTTAAGGGTGCGCCCGGCCGCCCTGCGGAGAAAGCTCATTTTGGCCGCCTGTATCCGGGATCTTGCCCTTTCGGTCATGACTCAAAGTTCATGACCATAGGTGAGAGTCGTACATCGACCACATTACTGCAGAAGCTGCACCAATCTGCCTGTCAATCTCCCATTCCATCCTTCCCTCACTCATGAACAAGACCCCAAGATACTTGAACTTCTCCACTTGAGGCAGGAACTCTCCACCAACCTGAATGGAACAAGCCACCCTATTCCCCACCCATGAAAACCATGGCCTCAGACTTGGAAGTGCTGATTCTCATCCCAGCTGCTTCACACTCGACTGCAAACCATCCCAGTGCACACTGAAGGTCCTGGTTTGATGAAGCCAACAGGACAATGTCTGCAAAAAGCAGGGACGAGATTCTGTGGTCCCCAAACCGGATTCCCTCTGGCCCCTGGCTGCACCTAAAAATTCTGTCCATAAAGATAATGAACAGAACCAGTGACAAAGTGCGGCCCTGTTAGACTCCAACATGCACCGGAAACAAGTCTGACTTACTGCCGGCAATGCGAACAAAGCTCCTGCTCCAGTCGTACAGGGACCGGACAGCCCTTAGCAAAGGGCCCCAGACCCCATACTCCTGGGGCACGCCCCACAGGGTGCCGCGAGGGACACAGTTGAATGCCTTCTCCAAATCCACAAAACACATGTATTTGGGCAAACTCCCATGAGCCCTCCACCACCCTGAAGAGAGTATAGAGCTGGTCTAGTGTTTCGCAGCCAGGATGAAAACCGCATTGTCTCCTTAAGACTTAAGGTACTGAGGGCGGATTTCATCAACCCCCAGTGCCTTGCCACCGAGAAGCTTCTCAACTACCTCGGTGAATTCAGCTTGGGTGATGGATGAGTCCACCTCTGAGCCCTCAGCCTCTGCTTCCTCATTGAAAGACGTGAGGCCGGGGTTGAGGAGAGCCTCAAAGTATTCCTTCCACCATCCGACAATGTCCCCAGTTGAATTCAACAGCTGCCCACCTCCACTGTAAACAGTTTTGGCAGGGCACTGCTTCCCCCTCCTGAGGTGGCGGACGGTTTGCAGGAATCTCTTCAAGGCCAACCAATAGTCCTTCTCCATGGCCTCACCGAACTCTTCCCAGACCCGAGTTTTTGCCTCCGCAACCGCCTGGGCTGCAGCCCGCTTGG